TGAACAGCAGCGGGCCAAGGTGAGAGCCTTGAGGCACTCCCGAAGTGACTGAGAAAGGGGGAGACAGGCATCCGTCACATTTAACAATGAGGATGCGACCTGTAAGGTAACTTTTCATCCAGCATAGTAGTGAGCCACATGCCATATCCTTCTAGTTTTGCAATTAGCAAAATGGTCACATGGTCAAAATAGTTTAGCAAGATGGTCAATTCTGTCGAAGGCCTTACTGAAGTCCAGATAAACGCAATCTTGTTGAAAGTGTTCAGTAAACGCGGTCATTACGGCATTTTGAAAGATAAGGAGGTTGGTACTGGAGGAGCGATTTTGCATGAAACCATGCTGCTCGGTAACAATGTGTTTGCTGAGCTGAAAACTTAAGGAATCAAGAATGAGACTTTCGCAAATCTTGGATAAGGCAGGCTGAATGGTAATAGAGGTCTGTAATTTTGTACGTTGTTTTTGCAGCCAGATATGAATATGATGGGGACAACATAACTTTTCTTCAAAGACGAAGCAAAAACTCCCACTTGGAGTAGTTTTGTGAAGTAAATATGAAGGTGAGGGGCAAGAACAGGAGCACAGTATTTGAGTACAGCAGGTGGAATGTCATCCGGTCCAGCACCCTCGTTTGGATCAAGTGCCTCCAACTTACTTTGCACGTTTATATGGCTGAAAAAGTTACAGCAGTTTATTGACTGATTCAACCCAAAGTCATATGTTGGCTGCGGTATGTTGCTCAGGTGGAATACGGATGAGAAGAATCTTGAGAAAAGATTACACTTTCCTCCTTGCGTCAGTATAGTTAATCAGTTATTTGTGTATTTACGAAAGCTTGGATACTGGACTATAAAAATATTGACTCTGCTCCAAATGTACAGATATGGATTTTCAATTCATATTGTTTTGGTCTTCAATTATGTGTGTTTATTTCCAATATTTTATAATATTGACTCCGCTCTAAATGTACAGATATAGATTTTCAATTCATATTGTTTTGGTTTTCAATTCTTTATATTTTATTTCCATATTAATAAATAATACACTATAGTACCCTTTTTTATTTGATTTTATTTCCAATATTTTAATAAATTTATGTTCATAAATTTAAATCAATTTAGTGCGAATTAATGAGCTGATGTCACCTGTCTGTCATCTTATAGGACGTATGACACTAAACAACCCTACTTGCGACGTTGCCAATTCTACCAGGCCAACCAAGAAACTTAGCATTGTTGCAAGAAGAGATCTCTTCGTCACCAAGCAAAACAATCAGCGGAAGCTTTTTTGAGCTGTTAATATGGAATTGGAGCATTTTTGTTTTATTGCAGTTTGTTTAGAAGAAGCTTGTTGCTTTGGAACCATTGAAAACCTCTATTGGAACTCTAGTAAAGAGCTGTGTTCAGAGTTGCATGGTATAAAACTTATGTCACCCTCTGTGAAACTAAGTTGATATGTCAACAGGAGGAGACTGAGGATAGGATAGGAACTGAACTGACTGAACTAGAGCTTCAACCCCACCTCACTTCATCAACCACCTCCATAAGTGGCTAGTGGACAGAACAGTCTGTCACAAACTAGATGGATTTTCAGACAGGAGAAGTACCTGCACAAGATTGCCGCAAGGTAGCGTCCTTAGTCCCATCCTATTTGCACTGTACATATCCGATATAAACTTTAACTTACCCGAAGAGGTTAAATCCTTACAGTATGCAGATGATATTGTTCTGTACAGTGCTGACAAATCTATCGAGACTGCAACAAATAAGGTCCAGGGAGCATTAAAAGAATTGGAAATATTCACTAATAAACTCAATTTGGAATTCAATCCCAACAAGTGCAAAACCATCTGTTTCTCGAATAGTAGAAAAATACTCTATGAGAAAATCACCCTCTTTTTACAAGGCTATCCTATCCCTGTTGCAGATCAAATAACACTACTGGGAATTATTCTTGACACAAAACTTACATTTAAACATCATATAGCACATGTACAGACACAGTGTTACAAGGACTTGAATATATTGAAAATATTGGCCTGTGGGGATAAAGGAGCTCATCCATCCCTCATCTTACAAATTTATGAAGGTCTAATTAGGCCTAAGATTGAATATGCAAGCTTTCTATTTGGACATGTCGCTACAAATACATTAAATAAGTTTGACTTAATTCAAAACCAGGCTCAGAGAATCGCAATTAAAGCATACAAAACTACTCCAATCATAGCCCTCAACTCTGAGACTGCATCAATCCCTCTAAGCATTAGAAGGAAAATGTTAACAGAAAGATTAACATACAAAATACTGACTGGTTACGACCATCCAGCGTTTCACCACATAATGTATTTGCACACTATGGTTGTTAATCTACCATGTGGGGTTCGCAAAAAAAAACCCACTATATGTTGAAGCTACTGACTTAATAATAAACATGATACCCAACATCTTCTATATCTCTGAAAACATAGACATCTATAGCCTAAGCAAGCCATTAGTTATGCTGGATGACAAAATAAACTGTTACATTGAAAATGGAGAAATTGGAGAGAAAAAGAAAAACATCAATATTTGTATGTTGAAACAGCAACATTTAACAATGGCACATACTACTTACAAGAACTACATCCAAATTTTTACAGATGGCTCAAGAACTAACCTTGGAACTGGAGCCGCTTTATATATTCCCAAAATAAAACTGGGCCTAAAATATAAGTTGCCAGAGTATATGACTAATCATAGCGCAGAACTATACGCTATATATACAAAGGCATCACATTTTGTGAAAACTTTCTCAAAAATGAAGAAAACATTGTTATTTTTTCAGATTCACAATCTGCAATAAATTCTGTCAAAGGTCTTAAGCATTCAAATGAAGTTGTCAACAAAATACTATCTGAATTAGACAAAAGCCAGAAGTTCTATGCACTTCATTGGGTTCCAGGACATTCAGACATTGCTAACAATGAAATAGCTGACAGATTAGCAAGAGAAGCTATTAGTGATGGTGATGTTGTAGACATACACACTCCCTTCTCAGACTTCAAGAAATTCAGAAAGAAAGTCCATAGAGAATACTACAATGATGTAATTTTACAATCCCCTAAAGGGCTATGGCATAAAAATGTACAGGAAAGATTACCTACAAAACCATGGTTCACACAATCAAAACTCAATAGGATGGAAATAACTAATGTATGCAAACTTAGATTAGGCCATGCTAGAGTGAATAAGTATCTCCATTCTAAGAACATGTACTTTACCCCACTTTGCTTGAAATGCACTCAAGGAGAAGATGAATCATTACAGCATCTATTCTGGGACTGCCCAAATTATAATTATTTCAGAGATAAACATCTTAAAGAAACATATAGAAAATATAGAAACAACCTACAGGAAGCCCTGAAATCTGTAAATGATCATATTTACAAGGAAATGAACAATTATTTGAAGGAAATAGGAAAAGCAATCTAAAATAACAAAGAAACACAAACACCAAAGAATCACATTTATGTTGTCCATTCTTGGGTTTCTTAATCCGTGGCCCTCCTCCCCTTTTCTGGGTAGTTAGGTATGCCTGATGGGCCCCTGGCAAAGAAGATCACCTATCTCTACCATCCTAAAGAATCCCTTGAACCTTTAGATAATCCTATCTTTAATACATAATTAGGTACAATAACAAAACTAGAACAAATTTACATGTAACATTGATTGTGCACATTTATGTTCAATAACAAATGTCTGTAAACTAACAAATAACCTTAATTGCAGGATGAATTGGAAGCAACCACAACTCAGTGTACATCGAGGCTGCCTGGTCTATTAAACCGAAGCCTGCTAAGCAAACTAGAGGAAAAAAAAACAACACAACTTACTAGAACACTGGAACTTAGTGATGGGAGAATCGAATACTTTAAAGAATCGAATACAGTGAATTCGTAGCCTCCCCTGTATTCGAATACTTTTACGAATACTTGTATTCGAACACCTTTGAGTATGCAAAGCATGGAAAATGAGTGTGTAATTCTTTTTTCATAATGCAACCGTTCTTTTGGCCACTGTTATTTCGTTTTACAGTAATTAATTCATTATTATAATTTATTCAATGTAATTTTAAATTATATGATTTTTAAAAGGTACATTTGTTTTGACTTGATAATTATTTCATGGTCAGTTACAGTCTTATTAATGTATTATTTTCTATTAGGAACTAATTAATATCTTTAATAATATGTCTTATTCATTTGTATGGATAATTTACATCAGATATGCATGTTATTTTGCCATGTAACTATATAAATCGGTTGTAGTTATAATAAATTCTATTCAATTGCCCTCTACCAGTAGTAACCTTGTATTTTAAATATCCAATATATTCTAAATGTTAACGATTAATAATAATCTTATGTAAATTATAGGGCTAATGGTAAAATTATAACGAATAGATGAAAACAAATGCTGCAGTAAAAACATTAAATACTCTTACGAATGCTACGGATTCGTAAGATATTCAAAAGGGAATTCAGTAGTTGAAAAAGTGTTGAATACATTTTTGAATCCCCCGAATTCGCTTTCTAGATTCAAGAAATCCTGCAAAATCTGAGGTCAAGAGCACTGAGCTAAAATTATAACTGGAGGTAGCACTGCCATGGCAGAAGTCTGTCAAGAGCGAGTCGCTGATTTTGTTAGGTTGGTATAGCAGTGAGTTTTTTTAACCAATGACATGGATTCTATAACTAGGTCTGTATGCAGTGAGTTTTTTCATCCAATAACATGGCTTCTTTATAACTCACACCTCACGCAAACATGGCGGCTGGCGACACGCATCTTTGACATTCAGTGCTACCTCCAGTTAGAATTATAGCTCAGTGGTCAAGAGTATTCACAAAAAAGTATTCGTACGAATCTGAAGTATTCGAATCTACGAATACTCGGGCTGTATTCGAATACTATTCGATTCTGTATTCGATTCTCCCAATATAATATAATATAAACGAAACGCCAAAAATGGCGGCCGGTCCTATTGCTGAACGAAATCAAGGTAAATATTAATCGTAATTGTTAGACAATCAATCATAAACCATAATTCGTTAAGAAAATAACGAGCGAATCGTTACATGTTTAGTGCATAAAAAAGTTTTCCATTATTATCTCTTTTCATAGGCTAGGTACTGGATTGTTTATCGCATCAATAGAGGTTATGTTTTTATTTAAGTTCACAAACCAAGATTAAAGTAAGCTTAGGCCCTACTATTTATTTAATTATTATTATCTTCACGGCCTTTGCCATTTTACAGTTACATACAAAAGGAATATGGCTAGGGAGTGTGCAAGTTTAGTGAATTTGTTGTCAAGTCGAGTTTTCAAGAAGCTTCGAGCTTAATAGCCTAACTTAGGCCTAGGCCTAAGTATTTTTGGTAATTATATAGATGAGGGTGACCAAGAGTTCTATAGAAATTTATATATCATTAGAAACTAGATTTTTACCTGAAAATAATGGTGCAAAAACATTTCTTCTGCCACAAAAACTGAATTTACTACGATTTTTTGAAGTTTATTTTAATGTTTTATTAGGTACATTGAATCTGCACTACAATGTTTACACTGTAAAACAGAAGTTAATAGCACAATTCACATTTATTGATTGATTATATGCCATTTTAATGTAAATATTACACTCACAACCCACACTTAGAAATATAATTACGCTAATTTAAGCAGGCAACAACTTATGTATTATTTGATTAAAATTAATTAACATTAATAAACACCTCTAGGTCGGACATATTTAATCTGGATTTGGGGACTGGGTTATGAAAATTGAAGAAGGAATAATAAAATGAATAAACAACAAATTGACACTATTCTAACCCAACCAAACTTGTCGGACAGTTTAAAATTTGTTTTATAAGTTGAAAAAGACATGTGAGGTTGGTAGGTTGGATGTTATGTGGATTCGTGACTATATTAAGTCCTATGAAGGTAGGTTAGATTAGGGAAGGTAAAGTTTAGGTTATATTTAGTTTAGTTTAGTTTAGTTTAGGTTAAAAACACGATAAATAACAATTTCAAAAATGCTGGCGCATTTTTGAAATTGTTATTTATCGTGTTTGTAGTACTTTTTACTAAGTGCAAAAACAGTCTGGATATAATATACATCAACAACTCGAATCATAATAACCTAAACTTTACCTTCCTAATCTAACCTAACTTAAAAACACTTAACAGTCACAAATCCGCATAACACCCAACCTACCAACCTCACATGTCTAAATAAGAACTGAAGTAATAAAATTCAAAAAAAATCGTAGTTAATTCAGTTTTTGTGGCAGCAGAAAAATCTTTGCACCAATTTTCAGGTAAAAATCTAGTTTCTTATGATATAGCCTATAAATTAGGCCTACTATAGAACTCTTGGTCACCCTCATCTATATAATTTCCGTATTTTTAATAAATAAATGAGCACCGATAGGTCAACCCATTGTTGTTAACCATCAATGTAACATTAGTAAGCTATCAACCATATATGTAGGCCAATGCTAGCCTATTGATAAAATAGTCTCAATAAAATCGATAATTTCAGGGCTAACTAGGCCTACTTAATTGATGTTTTTTCATTTTGAATTTTTTGTCTGCTTTCCCCCTTAGCTAAATTTAGCTAGGCCTACTATTTCGACGTTCTAGATTGGCAGACTCTCTTACACATTTTCTCTTTCACATTTAAAACAAAATTTTGTTCTTAATTAACTTAATTGATTAAGTTGCACTGGAGCATGAGTGCTGCCTTTGAAATTTAAATAACTTCTTGATCAGCATTGTACGTGTTATTAAATTTACGGAAAGTAAATAAAAGAAACGTCTTATAACACTTAAAACATATATTTACGCTTAATACTGTTACTCACAAGACGGTAAAATATACAAAATAGATGGTAAGTGGTGATCGATTTCGATTGGACACTCCAATCATCATCAGACCCAATAGGCGAATGACAAGAATCTTGATTTGCGTCCCTACTTATACCCTATTGGCTACCGGAAGCACCGGCCAATACATTTTTATATGTACAACTGGAATCGAAATTTACTTGTTCATTAAAGTAATCAACTTATTTCTATTTTTACATTTTAGCGAATTTCCCTATAGGGAAGTAGCTATTACCGTAGGTGGCATGGTAAGACTTAGGCCCGGGACCGATTTACTTTTTCATTTTGATGTCCCCAGAGGCCAAAAACACCATTCGTTCAAATTTATATATTTGTATATATATATATATATATATATATAGATTTATATATATATATACGTCCGTGAACGCGATAACTTGAGTAATTTTTGTCCGATTTTGATGAAATTTGGCTTAACGGTGTAAGGCGGGATAAACTTAAATGAGTTCGCGAACCAGCATGATCGGACCATGGCAACGGGGTTTTACGGGAGGTTTTATGGGGTAAAAAATGGTTTTTCTCATTTTTGACCCTCAAAACACAAAATTTCCCAATTTCTCTCTAGACCTTTTTAAAGAGTTTAAAAAAACAAATAATTTAGTATATCAAAGTGTTTTTGTGCGGTTATTGGTAACGGAGAAAATTCAAAAAATTGTAAATTTAAAATTCCCATGTTATTCTTATGGAGAATATTGTAAACTGTCGTATTTTGCTTGTTTTGGTGATATATTTTGATCAAACTTGGCAAATTTATTTATTTTATACTAAGCTATTAATATTTTACTAAAATACACACTTTATTATTTTCCTTGTAGCAGCAAACCTAGGTATTCATTAAACCTAAAATGTTATTTAAATAAATTTTATTGAGAATCAATTCAGACAAATGGAAATTCGCTTAGTCGGCAGGTTTGCTGCGGCGGGGGTATTTCCTTATAAATATACAATTCTTCCCAAGCATTCATCACATATCCTTTCCTACAATTCTTTAAAATAGGCTACATAAACTATCCTCCATTTTTCCTATTGAGTGGCCATTTTGTAACAGGTGTTGTGCGACATTTCATCTCTCCAGCTTGTTGTTCCTCCACGCAGATGTGTGGTCCTTGAAGCGGTTAACGAAGTTCACAGTCTGTCCAATGTAGAAGCTATCACAATCGTTACAATTGATTTTATAGATGCCGGAAGCGTCTAATTTGTTACAATCTTCTATTTTTGGAAGCAGTATTTTACTCAAGGTGTTCTGAGTCCTGTAGGCTATTGAAACTCCGTATTTCTTGCATCTGTTAGCAGTCCTTTGTGTTGTAGTCCCTGTGTAGCTAAATGTGACATATCTGGTGTTTTCCTCTTTTATCTCTTCTAATGTTGTTCTGCTGCGTAGTGTATTCTGTCTATTGATTTTTCTCCTCGTCTTTCTTGCGATGTCCTCTATTGTCTTGGTTCGAAATCCATTAACTTGAGCGATCTTCTTAATGGTGTCCAGTTCTTTCTTCCTATTGGCTTGGCTAAGTGGGATCTTATAGGCTCGGTACATCGAGGATCTAAAGGCTGCGGTCTTGTGGATTGTCGGATGGATAGACTTGCTGTTTATTGTAGTGTCCATTTGCGTAGGTTTACTGTAGATGTCAAACTCGATCTTGCTGTCTTTTCTCTCTAATGTGAGGTGCAGGAAGTTGATCTTTTCGTTATCTTCAAACTCGTTGGTAAAGGTGAGGTTTGGATGGTGGCTGTTAAGTGTCTGCATCATCGTTTCATGCTCTTGCTCCTGGGATTGTCTGAAGATAACAAGAATGTCGTCTACATATCTAACATACAGTTTTACATCATGATTCTTTCTTAAATTCTGTAACATTTCATTTTCCTGATGCTGTAAAAATATTTCTGACAAAATTGCCGAAAGTGGACTTCCCATAGCTAAACTATCTGTTTGTTCGTAAAATCTATATTGTTAAATCTGAAATAGTTTTGTTTCAAAACAGTCACAAGCAATTTTACAATCTGATTGACATATTCGTTGTCTAAACTATTCTGTAAAAGCCTACATTTAACAAGATCTACAGTTTCAGATACAGGTATGTTGGTGTACAGATTTGTAGGGGTATAAGTAGGGATGCCATTCAAGATTCTTGTCATTCGCCTATTGGGTCTGATGATGATTGGAGTGTCCAATCGAAATCGATCACCACTTACCATCTATTTTGTATATTTACCATCTTGTGAGTAACAGTATAAGCGTAAATATATGTTTTAAGTGTTATAAGACGTTTCTTTTATTTACTTTCCGTTTGAAATTTATTACAAATGAATTGATGTTTTGCCGCATTTAATTTATAACAAGTACCTCCACAATGTAGACAGTTTTTCTTACTCTCACTCTTCTCCTGTCTAAGTCTATGCGGTAGTGCCTAACTTAAGTTAGTCTAGTCCTTGGTATTTTTGGATTTGATATTTCACTACCCTTTCAGTAGAATGAATAGCTGCCTAACTTATAAGTAAAAATTCAGTTTCAGTTCGACCTACCGGTATGGAAAAAACTTCAATGTCACAGATGGCCAAATACATCTTACTTAAAAAAACAGTTAACTTAAATAAGTTAAGAACTGAACTTAAGAAGTTAAGAAGTTGATAACTTAAAAAAGGTATACAAACAAAATTTAAACTAAGCAATGCAAGAATTATACAGCGAAATAAAATCTTGTGTGCTTTTCAGCGCATGAACACGTTTTTGTCTCTATTTTTATCGCTTTACAGAAAGCTATTAAAACTGCAGTCATGAATAGGTTTGCCCATTATTATTCAAGCAATTTGCTCTTTTCAGATGCAACAATCTATGTTGGAGGACTGGACGACAAAGTGTCGGAAACTCTTATGTGGGAATTGTTTGTACAGGCTGGACCAGTTGGTAAGTAATAGGGTACTTTAACTGTCGATCATTAGTAATGGATATTGCTTGAAGGATGGGATTGTATGTTGAACTTAAAGTGCAAAGTCAATTCAATTCTAATTCTAGTAAATTCTATCTAATTACATAAAAATATAGGCCCCTAAGGTAAGTTAAACTTTATCTTTTCAATGAAAATATATATTTTCAATTAAATTGCCTTAAATGTGATAAGTTAAGACCTCGTAATACAACAGTGTGGCTTTGAAAGAATAGGCAGCTATTATGTAGTGTACAGTTTAGCATTTTCTTAAAAAAAAAAGTTTTTTCTTAGTAAGCTATTTATTATAAAATTTAATTGTCTGTTTACCGGTACCTCCCCAGTGGTCATTAATCTTGCATTCAAATCTGAAAGTCACTGGTTTGATTCCAAATGAGATGGCCTAGTTTCTGAACACAGGTGCCATTGTTACTAAGCTGTCAATTAATCATATTAACTAATATAAGGTGGACATTAGATATTAACAAGAAAAAGGTTTGACCACTCCCTTACAAAAAACATTTAAAAATTGAATTCCAAATGGGGTGAAAACCAAACAAATAGCCTAAACTTAAACTTATAAAACCACTTTACAAATTTAAAATTGTTACGGAAAGTAAATGAATGAAACGTCTTATAACACTTAAAACATATATTTACGCTTATACTGTTAAGGCGAATGACATAACGTCATAACATAACATACGGTAACGTCATTCGCCTATTGGGTCTGATGATGATTGGAGTGTCCAATCAAAATCGATCACCACTTACCATCTGTTTTGTATATTTACCATCTTGTGAATAACAGTATAAGCATAAATATATGTTTTAAGTGTTATAAGACTTTCTTTTATTTACTTTCCGTCAATTTAATAACACGTACAATGCTGATCAAGAAGTTATTTAAAATTGTTGTCATGAATTGTTTCAGTCAGTTGTATAGTCATTTATAAGAGGCTACTTAAAATCTCCTTAATACAGGGTGACACAAAGGAACCGAACAATTTTTATATACGTAGTACACAGTAGTTAAAAGGAATAAAATGGTTTTAATACTGTACATAGTGATTTAAACATTTGCCATTTGTTACCGAACAGTCATTCTTAATAGCGTATTTCGGCTTGGCGTTTATTGTTCCATGGCGTTCAATATTAAAATGTCGACGAAATCTCAGCTGGGTTTTGACGACGGATTTACCATTATGGACAAAAGTATCGTATGCAAAAACGTGATGGTCTAATGTCCACTAAGCCATTTCAAATTTCAAAAAAATGGCAACCCTCACTGAAGGTTATGACATAACCTCAATCTTCCTACCACGTGCGACAACCTCTGTGTCACCCTGTACCTTGAAACAGCTTAATTACTGTCATCCCTAAACAGCATTACTTGCCATGTAAGAAAGGTTAGGGTTTTTTATTCTCAAGATTAGCAATGTTTGTAGGCTAAAAATGGTTTTTTACCCATTATTCTACTAACTTAGGCCTACTTCAATACTGAATTTAAAATGTTGGTACAGTAGGCTCCTTTGTTAAATTGGTTATGTTAGGTTTTTGTAGTGTTATTGTTATGTATTTGTTTTAGTTAACGTTCACATGCCAAAGGACCGTGTCACTCAGATGCACCAAGGCTATGGTTTTGTGGAGTTCATGGGAGAAGATGATGCGGATTATGCAATCAAGATAATGAACATGATAAAGCTGTACGGGAAGCCCATCAGAGTTAACAAGGTTGGATTTTTTATTCTGTTATTACTATGTATAGGCTATCCTTAATGTAATTGAAAGGAACAAAGCATAATCTTAAGTGAATATGAAAAAAGTAGACAGTATCCTAGAAGTCCAGTAGGCTAATTATTGGTTTTCTCAAACACATAGAGTAGACTCCCTCTTACCCTGACTCCTACCACAGAAAACATACTACTATAACCCAGAATGCCAACCGCATGGTAAAAAGCGTTAAATAATTTGAGAGAGCTTTGCCTGTCAGTTCGTAGGCAGCGCCACCAGCGTTGCAATGCACTCAGCATAGCAACGCTGGTGGCGCTGCCTACGAATTGACAGGCAAAGCTCTCTCAAAGTACTTAACGCTTTTTACCATGTGGTCGGCATTCTGGGTTATAGTAGCCTAGTATGTTTTCTGTGCTCCTACCGACCGATACCAGTTTGGATAACGGTTTTTCCGGTTAAACTGACGTCCCCAAAAACTCGTTAAAATGGAACGCATACTGTACAGTATTTGACTTAATTTAGGAGAGCATAGTAGGTATATCTTTCCCACGAGAACAGTCGTTTCAGTACCGCCCACTTCCTGCCAATAACTTATGGTCCGGTTAAACCGATGTGCTGATTTAACTGACTTCCGGTTAAAGAGATGTCATTTCCACCGAGTGTAGTCCAGTAAAACCAATGTCCGGTTTAAAGGTGTCCGGATAAGAGGGAGTCTACTATAGAGTGAAAGCCTTCCAATGTTTGCGTTTTGATACAAACTCTACATATTGATAAGCTGACACCATTTGTCACTCTTCAATTCTCATACATCTGTTTTATGTAATTTTGGTTTTCCCTTGTAGATTAAAAAAAGTAATTAGGCCTATTAAAGAAATTTTATACCGTTTAATGTATCCAACATATTTAAGGAATTTAAGTTCATGTAACCTAATAATGTAAAATGCTGGATGCTGTTAGTGAATGATTAAATAAATCAAGTGAGAATCCAGTCAGGCAAATGGAAATTTGCTTAGTCTGCAGGTTTGCTGCAGTAGGGGTATTTATGTATTTTAAACTGAAACTTGTACTAGAGTTTGTAGTTTAGATCCAAAATAAAAATAAATAAACAGGCTATTGCAGTTGGTCTGTGGTTTTTGTAATAACCAAACCTTTTGATAACTCCAAGTGTGCAAGATTGGTGTTGAAGTAATGGTTTTATTTATCGTATGCCTACAATTCAAGAAGGCAACTTTAATTCACTCGTTTTCTAAACTATGAATTATCTAAAAGTATGATTCTTCAATTGTTTGACAGTGAAAAAAATAGTGAAATGAACAATTCTGATGAATGTAGGCCTACTAAATTTCACTACTACCACAGTTGAACGTGGTTAGGTCCAAAAAGTTGATCTCATCTTTTGTCTCTTTTACAGGCTTCAGCACATCAAAAGAACCTAGACGTTGGGGCCAACATATTCATTGGAAATTTGGATGCAGAAGTTGATGAAAAATTGCTGTACGACACATTTTCAGCCTTTGGTGTCATCTTACAAACGCCGAAGGTAAATTGTGTTAGCATTAAATTTGACTACTTGGCCATTAAAAATGTCTCATATATACATTTTTGTAATTTTTCAGATAACCATTTCAGTAAAATAATCTGTATTATGCTATTCTTACAATGGTTACATAAAATACATAATTTCAAAGTAGTAATACAAACATAAGTGCCATGAGATTTAGAACCATTATATTTTTGTAGCTACTTAAGGAAAATAATCGCTTGAGAAAGTGAGAAGGGGACGTGCTTTATTGTTGCTTTAACACGTTTGCTGCGGCACGTCAAATGGCGGTCGTATCCCCAGTGCGGCGCAGCCCTCAGCGTCGAACAAACCCGATTGCCGCGTGTGATTGGCTTTCCAATTTTGGTCTGACGAATAGCAAATAACGTGCGAGGATGCCCTGCTTTACAATGACGTAGTTCGCTAAACACCCACAGATAGCAGCACTGCTTGGAACGTAGCCGGTCCCATTGGAATTGTATTGCCAAATGGAGGGAAAAAGACGGGACAAAAAGTAGATTTTTGAGATTGCCAGACGGGGATTTTACGGGGAAATTTACTACCAACCTACACCACAACAAAATGCAAGTCACAGACTACACGCTAACGTGGTATAGGTCAGCTTTCGGCCGACGCTAGAGCAAAAACGTACCCGATCGGGAACTGCCGCACTCTACGTGTTAAGTTTGTTTTTACATTCTGAGGTACCACACGGGGTATCTGTACACACAAAACACTTAAGGTATTGGCAGGAGGGCCATAGGCCAGGTTAGCAACATAAAATACATGAAACAACAACATTTACAAAGCTACATTTACTCAATTGATAATGTAAACTCTTACCTTAGCAATCCTTATTGTGGTTATCCGATATTAATTTCGAACCTGTAAGTCCATCTTCAGTCGGAAGTCTAGGGAGACCAAATACTTATAATAGGATCCACCCGATAGGTTTCGTAGGAAGTATGTTGACATTTAACACGATACAAATTACAGTTTTACCTTTGTACCTTTGTACATTATTCATGTCATCTGTAATTTGTATCGTGTTAAATGTCAACATACTTCCTACGAAACCTATCGGGTGGATCCTATTATAAGTATTTGGTCTCCCTAGACTTCCGACTGAAGATGGACCTACGGGTTCGAAATTAATATCCAATAACCACATTAAGGATTGCTAAGGTAAGAGTTTACATTATCAATTGACTACATTTACTCCTGAAAATGGTATAATAATAACAAATAATCAAAATAATACCATAATTTCTTAGAGAAATAACAAAAAAACTACTACAATAACAAACAATACCCTGATCTCAGTTTATTGAACTTTAAAACATAAAAACAGCAAGTAAAATTTTAAAGGATAGAAAATTCATAGAAATTTATAGGCACTTTTTAAATTATGAAAATTAAAAATCAAATTATACCAGTGCCTATCTATATTGTCAGGCTTCCCTTAAGAAACTGGCCAATCTCTGCCTTTTGGATATTTATCAAAATCAATTTTTTCCAAACTTAAGGCATTAAAATAATTTTTCCTTATTAGGCCTACCTAAAATTGGGCACACAGACAGAAAATGGAAGATGGATTCTTTTTAATTTAAATTGCATATTGAACTTACATTTCTGGCCATTCAATGTTTAAAATTTAAGTAGGGAATGATGCTTGATGAATATTTGTTTAACATTTAGGAATAGGTAGATGAAAGGTAAAGGCTACAATATTAAAAATATGTTTTTTAATGTTTATCAAAATATTAACTTTTTACAGATTATGAGAGATCCAGAAACTGGTAACTCAAAGGGATTTGCTTTTATCAACTACGCAAGTTTTGATGCATCAGATGCTGCAATAGACGCAATGAACGGCCAATATCTCTGCAATCGTCCGGTATCTGTGTCATATGCATACAAGAAGGACGCCAAGGGAGAGAGACACGGATCAGCTGCGGAGAGGTTGTTGGCAGCTCAGAACCCTCTATCACAGGCCGACCGACCTCATCAGCTGTTTGCAGACGCACCACCTACAGCCCCCATTCCACCCCCACCACCTCCTGTGAATGTCATGGGGTTGGGTTTGGGACCTCCTCCACCTCCTGTGGGATTCAACCCTCCGCCACCACCCCCAGTTCCTCCACCAGGATCGATTCCTCCTCCTATGAATCTACCGCCTCCTCCACTTCCTCCTCAGCAACCTCCTCCGATGAACATGTCTCAGATGCCTCCACCCATGGGAAACATGATGAACCAGCAAAACCCTCCACCCCCGCCACTTCCTCCATTACCTCCTACCTCGTCTGCTCCTTCCAACATCATGCCGCCTCAGGGCATGCCCCGCCCACCCATGCCCCCACCTGGGCTGGGTCCACCCAACATGAACATGCCACCTGGACCACCCAACATGCAAAACATGCAGGGTATGCAAATGCCCCCCATGCCTCCAAACATGCCCCCAAATATGCAGGGTCCCATGGGACAGATGCCTCCCAATATGCAAGGCCCACATGGCATGCAAGGCCCACCCAACATGCCACCCAATATGATGAACCAGGGAGGCATGCCTCCACCACCCCGCATGATGCCACCTCCGCCCTGGCAGCAGCAAGGGCCCCCACCACATATGCAGAACCAAGGCGGCCGCTACCCTCCGCCTCCACCTCCTCATGGTAGGTTGTAAGAATAAGATATTCGAACTAGAAATAGACTAATTAACTTTAAAAACTATATAATACCAGCCTCTTAAATATTTTTCAGTTTATTTAAAATCAAAAGTTTAATTTTTCAGGTAACTCAATTACCAGACTTAAACATATCATAGGAGTCTGCAGGTCTCCAAAATTTTACAGGCCAATAGTTGGTCCGAGAGATTCACAAAAGTGAGATATTCAAAAGATGTTCACAATTTCGTCATAATCACAGAAGAGGTTCTTAATTTCAACCCAGTCGCAGGAGATGTTGACATTTTCTGCTGCATTCATGGTAGATGTTCAGAATTTCACGGAATTGCTAGGATCGTTCTGAATTTCATCGTAATTACGAATTATGTTTATTATGATTTTGCTGGGATTGTTTAAGGCAATGTCTCTGCGACCCCAATAATTGCACTACACCTAATTCCAGCAGAGTGAGAGTGCTATTGAATGGCATACATTACATCAACCTTACTTTAATACGCTACGTAGAACAACACAAAAATGTGTCTAAACTTTAAGAAATGGTTGTTATAGGTCATATGTTATACATAGTAAAGTATTAAATTAAATTACTTGACTGGTTATTCACTGAAGTTGAGCAGGGCAGGATTCAGTTTGTGACCGCTGACTAGTTATAAAACAATATTTTATATATAAAACAAGCAGGGGGTTTTTATTTGATGATTCTGAATCAACCACTTGACTTTAAATTATTAAGGAAATAATAGACGATGTATGTTCGGTAATTTACTGGACAAATATAATACAAAATCCCTAACCTACATAGTTTTCTAGGGCCTAATTAGTGTGTCTAAATGAAAAATTTCATTTGTGTTGCAAATTAAATATAAATGCAGGTTTTCTTCAGAATTTATGGATTCGTAATACTCACAAGACTTCCTGGCTATCACCCTCTACAACAGGATATAAATGTCTAATAATAAGTCTCAAGCTATTAAAATGACAAATTAACCAGAATTATTTCACGGTTTTATTTATGTGGTTTGGGAAATGGAACGGTTCAGTTATAATTTTCAATGAATTAATTTACACCAAACTATATGATAGCATAGACAAATAGAATAAATATAGAGCGTCAGCTGTGCTGCGGTTTTATAAGTTCTGGCGTCCACCGCTAGGTTGCTGCAGCGTTTGCTGGTCACATACGGCTCCTGTGCTCCTCGCCTGCGTTTTTCAACTCACACTTGTACCAAACTCCATTGGAATCTGATGATTTTTACTTGAGTTATTATGCTAATGGACTTTTATATGTGAATTAAAACAGAATGTATTTTTTGTCTTCTGGGGACATAAAAACAAAAAATAAATTGTCCCAGGGCCAGGTATTACCATGAGACTTGCGGTAATAGCTTATTCTCCAGAGGAAATTCGCTAAAAACCATTTACCAATATTTTAAAGTCATAAAACATAATTTTACGTGTTTGATAATATTTCTATAACCCATACTTTACAGCCATGACATTTTATTTGAACACCTGGTCAAGTTTATATTTTACAGGCAATCGCCCCCCGCCTGGCTGGAGACCTCCTCCTCCTCGAGGTGGGCCTCCGTTTGGGCGACCACCGTTTCCGCCACGAGGCCCACCACCTCCCCCCCCTAGACAGCGACCGCCGCAGAACTACCATGATAGAGATGATTACGAAGAAAACAACTATCCTGACTACGGAGAGAACTACTAGAATGTGTGTTTTATTATTAAACACTAGTACTGTATTTATAATATTATGTGTCTGATTTACCTCTGAAACAAACAGATTTTTATTAATAAAGAAGTTCTTAATAGAAGTCTAGTAACTTTTTTAAAATGGTTTTGCATTTTTTGTACCTGTATGACATACTGTATTTATTTAATTTTGGCGTGAGTTAATGAGTCATTAAAAAAAAATTGTTATATTGAGAAAATGGTACACAGAATTGTTTTGTTTTATATAGCTAGTTTCTGATCAGCCAGATCAAATCTATACTGTTTATTCTAATTATTTACCAAAAAGCGAGATTGAATTCAAACACTTGTTTATTTCGTCACCAGCATGGCAACCATTTCATTAAAAAGTATAACCCGTAAGCTCCATGTTAATTTTATTAAATTAATTTTTTGTGCTAAGTTTTAGCCTATTTTAAATTGTAAAGGGGTTCTGCACGGGAGAATATTTTTCTAACAGTTTGGCACTATGCACACGAGCTGAGTAGAAAGTTTTTAAAGAAGCATGCTTGCCTATTAATATATAGATAAGAATAGAGATGATGTTTTTGAAGATGTAAAAAAGTGTTGATTAGATAAATTTAAATTATAGACTAGAAGTTTTTTTAGATATTATAAATTAAAACTATTTTTAAAAAAACTTGTATAAAAAAAATACTTTTAAAGAAAAAACGGCTTCAAGTATTATATATATAGATTCTTTTTGTAATATCACATAAAAGACCGTGGTAACATTTATACATTTAATAAGGTTTTTAGCAAATTTCCCATATAGGGAATTGTTACCGTAGTACTCATGGTAAGACCTGGACGCGGGACTGATTTTTTTTCCGTTTTGAGGTCCCTAGAGGCCAAAAACACCATCCGTTCAAATTCATATCCTACTAATCTAATATATAAAATTCTCGTGTCACAGTGTTTGTCTGCAAACTCCTCCGGAACGACTTCACCGATCGTTATGAAATTTGGTGTGTAAATTCTGTAGGTATGCGAATCGGACGTAAACTATTTCCCGTTTCGAAATTCTTAAAAGGGCTCCGCCCCAGTGGCTCTGCAGTTTCCCATGTTAACCTTATGAGAAATGGAATTAATGAATCTTAACAGCTGTTTCAATTAAACAAGTTGGTTCTGTTCTATGATGTTCAATAGCATTAAAGTTACAAGGATTACCAACAGGGTGCAGCACTATTATTTCTTTTACATTTATGACAACAGCTAATTTGCAACCAAAAGGTGAGTGAGCGTAGCGAACGAACTTCAACCTGGAGGCGAGTTAGCGTAGCGAACGAGCTAACCTGAAGGCAAGTGAGCGCAGCGAACGAGCTCCAACCTGAAGGCAAGTGAGCGCAGCGAACGAGCTCCAACCCAAAGGTGAGTGAGCGTAGCGAACGAACTTCAACCAGGACGTGATTGAGCGATGCGAACGAGATCATCTTGAAAATTAAACGTAACGGTACTTTCTTTCCATCGGTCTGTCTTAGGGGAAACCTATAACTTAGGCGATATGTATGTTTGTGACAAGTAAACACGAAAAATACTGGTCGGATTGGGCTGAAATTTGGCATGATGATAGCTCACATTCCCGATTAACATATAGGGATATTCTTATCTCAAAAATCCTTTTGGGCTCCGCCCCAGTAACTCCGCAGTTCCCCATTTTAACCTTATTAGTATTCATATTTAAAAGGGATTAAAGGATTTTGTCAGCTGTTTCAATTACACAATTTGTTCTATGATATTCAATATTCTTAAAAGTCATAAGGTTCACCGACAGGTTGCAGCACTATTATTTGATTTTTCATTCATGACAACATAGCTCATTTGAACCAAGCCGCAACAAAAGGCTGTGATGCACAATGAGAACTGTTAAAGTAGGATTGCTTACAGTTAACTTTATGTTTTTAATTTATAAATAATGTTTTCATATTGTGCGGATATTCAATAATTTACTTTTTTATTGTTTAGGTATAATGGTAGAACATTATTGCTATGGTATATGTGTTATACTATAGCTTCCGTAAATTAAAAGAACCAAATTTTCTCAAACCGTGTCCTCTTCCATTGTTAACACAAAGCATGAGTATAACTGCAATAAGCATTTTATACTTATTTGCAAACCCCGTACGAAGGACGGGTATTCTGCTAGTATATATATATAGTATATATGTGTCCGTTAGCACGATAACTCGAGCAAAAATTATCCAATTTTGATGAAATTTGGCATAAACGTGTAAACCTACATTCATTTGAACCAGCATGTTCGGACTATGGGAACGGGGGTTTTATGGGGTAAAAATAGATTTTTCCCATTTTTTACCCAAAAAATATAAAATTTTGCAATTTATTTCCAAACCATTTTGTAGAGCTTAAAAAAAAAAATAATTGAGTATATTGAAGCATTATTATGCGCCTAATGGTTACGGAGAAAATTCTGAAAAATTTAAATTTAAAATTCTCATGTTATTCTTATGGAGAATAAGTAAACTGTTGTAGTTTGCTTGTTTATGAACATATTTTGATCAAATTTGGAAAATGTTTTTATTTCTTACTAACTATCAACATAAAAAAAAAGACAGTTTTGCCCTCCCTGATGCAGCAAACCTAAGTACTCGTTAAACTAATTCTATTTTAATAGGAAATAAATGTTATACTTTTAAGTAGACATTTTAGTGTAAATCCCATCAGGCAAATGGAAATTCGCTTAGTCTGCAGGTTTGCTGCGGCGGGGGTATTTTAATAAAGAGGTTGGCGGTCTCTCTTAACCTTGCATTTGCCCGTCCACAGGCTATGGACCTTTGCATGGAAAGTATTCAGCAAAGCAAGGGGTGAGCCAATACAGGATAACGTGCAAGAATGGTACAAGGGTGAGCTGTATTGGTAAAAAGTAGTGGCAGTGACCAGGATCCGAACCCATGATATTGCTGCCTTGAGCCCTAAGTCCGTGATGCTACCGACTTACCAACAGTTAAAAGTTTGCGTGACATGATCTACAACTCTGCAGTCATGATAAAATACTGGACATCTTAGTGATCGCGGATGAATATTGACAACTCCTACATTAACGGCGAAATAGTAAAGATCGTTTGTGGACACGCGGATTTCATCAACGTCTCCCGTGAACGCGGCAAAACAGATTATCAGTGAAATAAATTTATTTTAATTTTTTTTTTTATAAATCATTTATAGCTAAATTTTTAAAAATATTTAAAATTATAGGTACTTTTTCAATGAAATGGTGATCTTAATCCACATACAACTATCTTAATGTGTCCAACATAATCTTAACCATCCACCATTACAGTATTTGAATCAAGAAAAAAATTTGAGGCCTTGGCAACCGCCGTTAGGAAAAAATACTTCTCTGCGGTCCAGCATTATATTGCCCCTGGAAGTGTCTGTGTATCATGTCCCTCAAACTCGGAAGATTTTCACGATTTCGTCATGATCGAGGGAGACAAAGATGATGTCTCCGCCATCGCACATGATGTTCCCTATTTTGCTGTGAACGAAGAAGATGTTCATGATCCCTCTGTGACCGCAGAAGATGCTTTCAATTTGGTCACGATTAAAGATTTTGTAAAAACCAATTGTAGTATAATATACTATTAATTATTAATTGTTATATGTATTTTAAAAATATTTACTTTATTTCCATAAATTACCTGATTTTGATTCGATGCAATAAGGTCAATATGTTTACTCAACCTGAAAGAAATAAAAAATGTCTGGCCCCGACCTTAAGCCCTAATATTTTTACTAGATAAAATTAGAGACTCATTTATTAGCTAGTCTCCTAGGTTTTTTAGCCGATCGGATTGTTGGAAACAAAAGGTCAATCCATCGTGTTGAAGTACAATATGTGTATTTCTAAACCCCCCAAGTTCCAACATAGATAAAACATATTCCTCAAGGCATTGAAGGTTCCAACCTTCAAAAATCTGAATTTTTCCTGTGAGAGCTGCCGGGGGCCTCATTGATTCTTAATACGACCATGGCCCTATATATATGTTTGTAAAGCACTTATAGCAAAGCACATATATTTTGCTCGAGTTATCACAAAAACGACCCGATTTCGATGAAGTTTTGTACAAACGTGAAAACCTACGTTTATTATTCTACAAGTTTGCGAATCAGCATGATCCGACCATGCGAACGGGGTTTTATGGGGTAAAAATTGTTTTGGACCCTCAAAACAAAATTTCCCAATTTCTCTCTCTTAACTATTTTGAACAAACTTAAAAAGTAATTTAGTATATTGAAGTGTTTTTGTTCGGCTTATTGGTCACAGATAACATTATAAATTTAAAATTACCATGTTTATTCTTATGGAGAATAAGTAAACTGTTGTAGTGTGCTTATTTATATTTTGACTATATTATATTTTTTATTTATATTCATATTTTTATATTTTGATCAAACTTGGCAAATCTATTTATTTTATACTAAGCTAATAATATTTTACTAAAACACGCTTAATCACCCTTCCTGTAGCAGCAAACCTAGGTACTCGTTAACTTGTTAAACCCAATATTATTGAAATATATTTAATTGAAAATTAAATCAGGCAAATGGAAATTTTCTTAGTCTGCAGGTTTGCTGCGGAGGTATTTTTCCTATGCCAGTGGCATTTTTACAAGAGGTAAACGTAAGAATACAGTTTGGTAGATGTGAACAATTGATGCAGTACTAACTGTTACATAATAATATGCGGCTTTAACACCATGTCATTGTTGTAGGCATGTACTGTTTGTCAACACTTCCAGCCTACCCACACAAAATCACTAATATACACTTCCGCTTAACTATACAAGCCCCACTTCCTGTCCCTCAACAATTACAATATATTATCTACCTATATTATTTTCGATTTCATGACAGACTATGTGTAGATATAAAGTCAATGCATATAGCAAAAAGTTAAGGAAGTTAATAATAGTTTAAACTTATTTTCTTTCCTTCCATTGTCATTACCATAGATAGTCTATGTCATTACCTACGAATTGAGAAATAAGTAGGTAACCTGTTTATTTTAGATAATTTTTAAATTACATCATCCAATGTGAAAAGTAAATGAATTAAAATTTCTTACCAAGGATAAAGTAG